TATACCGTTGATGGAGGCCCATGCTTTTTCTGAGGCTTCTGGGGCCGGCTGCACAAGAGGATGGCCCCTCCTATGAGAAGAAAAGCAGCTGCTGCCCAGCCCAGGTACAAAGCTGCACCGAAGTCTTTCTTCTCCCCCAATCCCGTTGAATTGTGGAAGTCCATCATGATATTATGGGCAAACCATGACACGGGTATCATCTGGCTCAGAGATGCCAGGATAAAGTTCACACCAGCAACAATCATCACTTGAGCCTTGGTTGCCTTTTCATCCACACAGTTGGTACACTTTGCTCCCACAAAGGCTGTAAAAAGCCCCAATATTCCCAAAAGAATAGAGAGGATAGTAAGGGCACGCGCGGCCTGAAGCTCAGGACTTAGATCCAACATGGAGTAATGAATTTTACACCCCATGTAACCCGTGCTCTGGATTCGGCACTCCATCCAGATGCCCTCCCAGCTCGTCTCAGTAGTGATGATATTACTTTGAATTAAAGCTGTTACCTTCCACATGGGCAAAATGCAAGACGCAATGGCAAAGATCCATCCAAGGAAAGCCAGGGCCACTCCAAGAATCTCTAATCCCATTGAAGGCATGTCTGCACTGTGTGTAAATACGAAGTGTCCACTGTCAAATGTCAAGTGTCAGATGTCCTCAGAGTAGTTTGAAGAGATCTGAGTGATTTATTGAGATTATTGCTGATAAGAGAACAGATTGTTTTAAATAGGTGGAGTCACATGGATATTGACTGGAGGAGTTCAAATAGTTAACTGCCCCACCTCATTTGTACTGCCAGAAACAGCCGACTCAGCTTAATGATTCAACTTTCACAGCCTTAGCAGCTCTCCCACCTGTTTGGGTGAGGGGAGAGTAAACAGTGGCTTTATCTCTCAAGTCTACAGTAGTTAAAGAATAACAGAAAAAGTAAAGATCGAAGGATGAATGCTTGAAAGTCGAGGACAACTTCAGCAATAGTATCATTGTAGTAGTGTGAGGCAAATGAATCAGAAAGAGTTAAAAATGCTTATTAATAATGCAAGTTGCATAAATGGGTTGTGAATGGCATTAGTACTTTATTACACCTTATTTGGATAAACAGTAGTCACTGAACCCCGAACATGATGGAAGTGGTGAAAAGCATATGGGGGGGAAGTTCTCTGGAAACCAGTGGGAGTTCTCTGATTATGTGAAGGTTGTATTTGTATATATGTGAAAGCCTCTGCATACCTCTGATAAATTTGATAAAAAAAAAAAAAACATCATCCCAAGTTCTATGGAAAGCTTTCACAATTCCACCTAAAAATGTTTCAACTTTAAAAGTTTAGAGATATAAATGTTTTGGAAAAAGTGCGTTCATCTGGCCACAAAAAAGACAAGGCCTAGGTTTCTTTCTCTCCTTTTTATAGAAATATCATTTTAAAAATGTCTTTTTAAGACAGGTGATTGATAAGAATGCTGTTCGAGTTATTTTTCTCTTAGTGTAAAGCACACACTGAGTTACTCAAGCAGCCTCAATTTAGAAAGCTTAAATTATTAGATATTATGTCATCATATTAGGGTGTGTAATGTGCTGATATGTACTGCTAAAAACAGCTTCACTCCATCTGTTCAAATGACTAAT